AAAGGCTATATAAATCGACTTCAACTGCTTTCCGCTTTATGACAAACTTTACAGCTTTATAACTATGCTGCAATAAAAGCATGTACGTACGAACGTACGAACACACATAACTCCAGAGTTCTTTGTGGTGGCAGTATAGCAGTATAGTAAGATTGCATGTTAAATTAAATTGACATTACAGCATTACAGCAATTACAGCCTTAAGAGAAGTAAATTCTACACTTACTTTGTTTTATTTCGTATAAATTAAATCTTTTTGAAATCTGACAGATCACATATTAGACTAACTTACTTTTTTTTTTTTGAGGTAACAGTAAGAGATCGTCATTGTATTAAGTAGTTTCTTTAGTTTTATTGGTGGTGCGTTGCTGTCAAATTTAGTTAGTGGCATTTCGTTTGGCGTTCTAAGTTTTTTCTACTTTTTATATTTTAGTGCTGTAATGGCTAAACTTGATAATTTACAAATAGATAGAGAAAAAATTTGGGATTATATTATTAAATGGAAAATCGTTCAAAATCCTTTTTTACTTCCTAAATGATTCGATGAACATTTAGCTTTAAAAATTCATTTAAAATTGTCTTTCTTTAATTTGAAAATATCTAATAAAATTCAACTTTGTCAGAAAATTCTTGAACCAAATTTGTGAGTGATGTTATGTTAAAATTTACGGCACCAAACAAATCTATTAAAATATTACTTTATCTTTTCGCATTAATTGTCGTGATGAATTACTTCATAATTACTTAATTGTAGCAAATATATTAAAATATTAAACGATTAATTAATTATTAATAAATACTACAATATATTAAAATTTATTGTACTTTTATATATAAATAGAATAGTAACTATTGATAATACTGTAATAAATAACAATTTTCCAAGAAAAATTATCCTATTAATTATTCTTCGCTAACACTAATGTTATTTTCAGCTAATATATTTTTGACTTCTTGAAGAATATTTACTAATTCTTTACGGGACTTATTTGATAAATCACGAAAGCGCGATCGATCTGAATCATCTAAAGAAGGAATTAAAGAGGTAATAATAGATAAAATTTCCGATTTTTTTAAAGAGCCTTCGCTTTTTTAAAGTTCTGCCTCATCACATGTTATGGGAATTGGACGCCAAATGCCTAAAGGTGTTTTTTTAATTAATGTTGCTTTAATAAATTCATTTCTTTTCGTACTCGCGATTTCACTAAATCTTATCATTTGTTCGCTTAATGTCAATTCTCCACCTAGATTTTGAAAAATACGATTATCAGCATTTGGATTTACAAATTAAGCTTTTCTTATCTGAACCCAGAATCGACGTGATTCAGCAGTAAAACTGGGATGTGTATGAGGCCCATTGGCTTCACTTTTAGAGTATCCTATTATATTAAAAATGTTAGTACACAATTTTGAAAAATTAGTACAATTACGTGCTGCAATTTCCCAATACCGTTGTGAAGGTATTGGAGGAATTAATAATTTCAATGATTTGTTAATTTCTTCAAGTATTGCATCATGGCCTTGATGTTGGTTTGAAAGTTTGGATCGCGAAGTAACAATCCTTTCTTGGATTAAATTTTGAATTTCAGGCCTTAATTGTAGCATTTGTTCTTCATCAGCAATTTCGATTAATCGATAGATTGGATGCCGTCGAGCAGACCAAATAGGTGCAGACATTCGCCTAGCTGCAAACTTTAGTGAAGGTCTATTAAAACGAACACCGGTACGAAAATTAATAATTGCTTGCAAATAAATAAAAGTTTGTTCATACTTTAACCTAAACATATGATCAGTCTGATTTTGAGCCCATTTTAAAAATCTTTCAACAGAAGGATTTTCTTCAGAAATAACATATGGCCACATTAACTCGGATGCTATTGCGTGTCTATATATATTACATATAGAATCCCACGACTTATGATGATCAGAGCATTTTTTGAAAAACTGGAGTTGGTTGTCAGTTCGATATTCTTGGCACTTAGCAAAATCTTTTAGATCAATATCCCAATTTAATTCAATGAGTGCCTTTAACATATTCATTTCTTCATGAAGGGCATCTGGAATTAATATGAGCCAAGGAAAATCTTTTTTCATTTTTTGTATGTGATGATATAGTACTCCATCACAAGTAACTACAACCCATTTACGGCTACCATTTTTAACTTCAGATATTTCTTCAATATGCTCAAGAACTTTTCTAATATTAGTAACCGAGTTTGGATTAATTCCTATTGGATCAGAAACAAATATTTGTGGCTCATGGACTTCACTTTCCAGAATTGATCATTGTTTAAATACGTAAGTAGGAATAGGTGATTTTTCAGCGGCATTTACAATCTTAGATTGTTCGTCGACTATCTCAGCAAGCGTTGGTAATTTATTTTTGTATTTAGAACAAACTCGTTTCTTATTATCGATATTAGAGGTCTGGCAAACTAGATATTTTTTCGTATGTCCTATTTGACTTTGCTGATGAACCAATTTGTCGATTATATTCGTTTCTTGATTTTTCTCAATGCAAAGCTCACCTAAAATAGTCAAAAGATAATTAGTAAGTTCCTCATTAATTTCATCACTCATACTTGATGATAAATAAAATAACTCTTCATATTGTTTTGAGTCAAGTTCCGTATATAGCCAAGGATTTTTACTTTGAATATTATTACTCT